CTAAGCGCCAGTGCAATCGCCATTATTGCTGGGAGAAGCTTCGGCGTGCAGAAGTGGACTTAGAGCGTGTCCGGGTGGTAGGTTTTAATATTGGGTGTGACCTCAGTCAGCCTGAGCTCCGGGGGCTGGTTCTTATGCTTCCTTCCACTTCCTTGGCAGTGGTATAAGCTGGACGAGCTGTTTGAGCAGGAACGTAATGTTCGCACAGCCATGACCAACCGAGCAGGATTACTTGCCCTGATGCTGCACCAAACGATCCAACATGACCCACTCACTACCGACCTTCGATCTAGTGCTGACCGCTGAGCTTCACCAGCCCAGAGCCCCTCACCCCTGCATTCCAGTTAGGGGAGTGGCCCTGCATCACCGGCTTTCTGTTCCTCCATTCATCTGTTTATTCCACTGCTCCTTAGTTTTATCCCTGTGTCCATCTATGTTCTGGCTTACATTTGCCCTTATTAATGGGACTCTGATTTCCCTTTTTCACTATCTGTCCTTTTCCATATTCAGTGCTGGGGTGAGACTGTGGCGTTTACTCACCTTTGCCTATACCCATCCCCTAAATAAACGGGTTTTGTTATTAAAAATTTTGAACAACCAACAGGAGATCTCTTGATAGTCTCCATTCTTCTATTTTCAGTTGTGGTCCCAGGCAAGGTAGAGGTGGCATATCTGTCTTGGGAGGGACTGTGGTAAATGTGCAGGCTGGGATAGCCAGCGGACTCATCTTGTGCTCCCTTAGGCTGTGACAGTGTGACCTATTTGAGGAAATTTCAGTGATCTGTATGAAGCCCCATCCACAGTTATATTATACCAGGGACAGGCCAGGTGTCAGAAGTTTCAATAGTTTCTGTTAAAAGATTTCAAATGCAGCTGGGCATTGGTGGCGCACACCTTTAATCCCAGCACTTGGGAGGCAGAGGCAGGCGGATCTCTGTGAGTTTGAGACCAGCCTGGTCTACAAGAGATAGTTCCAGGACAGCCTCCAAAGCCACAGAGAAACCCTGTCTGGAAAAAAAAAAAAAAAAAGGTTTCAAATGCTCTAGTGGATTAAAATAATGGACTTCCTAAAACTACAAGTATGGCTAGACTAGAATGTTCTAAGCATTGTGTAGTTAGCCAGGATGAAGGGTGGTTGCGTGAAGCACACAAAATGGTGTCAGCTAAAGCAAAAAGGGATTCCCTTGGTTAGTTTATTCTCTGCTGGTCTTAGCAGAGTCAAAGCATTGACTCATTATCTTCCGGTGGCATGTCCGAAGAGAACGGAGTGATTTCCTGTTTGTCCCGGCTTATATTATGATTCTGCCCAGCTATGTCACTTCCTGCCTGGCCAATCAGCCACCAGTGTTTTATTCATTAACCAATAAGAGAAACGTATATAGAGAAGGATTTCCCTCATCAGATGTTTAGATTTTTTTTGACCACTTTGTAGGGTGTATTTTTTTAAGGAATGATGCATATAAATAGCTAGCTTTTCCTAAGGATACACAAAGATCTCTCCAACACATGAACAATAAATCTCTCCCTCTCCAACTCAGTAAAACTAACTCAGCCAAAGATTTCAACCTGATTGAGAAGCATTTCAATGGAAGTCTGTAGTTGTCCTATATCCCCTATCCTATATCGTGGATTTATGGGTCATCTAGGATATTCCAATTTCACCTCTTACCAAGGTAATCATTAGGGCTGCTTTTTCAGCTGGTCTAAGTCTTACTCGGATAAAGATCAACAGGAAGCCAGGAGAAAATGTGCTGAGCATTCTTGGGGCCATTGTAAGCATATAACTTGAGAAACAATGGATGGTAACACACAAGGTAAAGCTCCTGTAGTCTGTCAGGCAAACACAAAAGGTAGGACTCTTGTAGTCTGTCAGAGGCCATCCATTTTTGTAAATACAGGTTAACCAGGTTCCCTGCAGTGCCAAGTAGGCTTTTGATACTGCAGGGTTCTGAGAAGGGAGATTTTTGGAAACTATAGTTAGATGTTGCCAAGCATGAAAGATTATCTATTATATCTCCTAAGGTTAACTTCAGGGTAGTGATAGGACAGGTAGACTTGTATTTGTAACAATTGATATCTTTGTGCCTAGATCCACATGTGAGGTGATGCAGTAAATAACATCCCTCAATGACCTCTGTATCAGTTCCTGCCTCCAAGTTCCTGCCCTGCATGAGTCTGTGTTCTGACTTCCTTCAATATGAACAGGAAGTATAAGCCAAATAAGCTCTTTCCTCCCCAACTTGCTTTTTGGGCATAATGTTCTGTAACAGCAACAGAAACCCTAACTAAGACAACAACATACTTGTCGTACCTAGATGGATGCTACAACCAATGCAGCAAATGCTAATAAAACTTGGAGACCCCTGGAAGAGAAGAGCAATGACCTTAATAACTAATCTGTTTTTCTTTATTAACCTAAATAGTTTTCAAAGACTGAAACTTTACATTACATTTTTAAGTGAGCTGCATAGGTACAATATCTTAAGAAATAGGAACATATAATACAGTATAACAAAAGTAACAATAAATTTGTATCAACATACAAAAATCCATACCAGTGTAAGATATTTGAGACCAGTGGTTGTTCAAAAGTAGACTAAACAATCTACCCTTTTATTACATCATTTCTATATCATATCTCCCTTTTTTCCTTCAGAAAGAAATCCCTGAAACTAATTTCCTTTGTTCAGTATTTTACTGACCACGACTAATAACAATTTGGAACCCCCCCCCAAAAAAATGACAAACATCCATAACCCACTGAATGACCCAAAACCACCTACTCCAACTCTTGGAAATGTGGGTATCATGTTTTCTAGATGGCTTCCCATTATCTGGGGGGTGATGGCATCTTTAGGGTACCTGAGAAAATTGGGATAATGGTCAAGTTCTGGGAGAGCTAGCTGTATATCATTTGTTGCCCAGTCTCTTATGTAATGGGAAAATGCAGGGTTCATCTGAAGTCCTGGCTAGAATATAGTCTGTGAGAGTGGACCATCTCTGCCAACATCCTTGAAACTGTTTTGGATGCAGAACTCTGAGGAAACTGCAACAGAGGCACTCTGAGAGGCTGGACCACCTGAGCCACACACTTTCATTGGTGTCTGGTCCCCTTACTCTGAAAACATAAAACTTTTAAAGTTAACATTCATATCTGTAATAACACAAGTATGGACTTTGCATTGAACACAAGCCAGCCAAAGGTGATTTTTTTGTTGTTGTTTTATGTTTGAGCATATAAAATATATATCACCTGTCTTATAGTTATTAAGATTTATTTCTTTATATCTGTATCCAGCATTTTCAGGGGGTCTCCACTGATCAAATCTGATCTCTATCAACCTTGATCAAATCCACAGATGTTATGGAATATTACTTCATACTGTGTGAAGATGTGCCATTGTGATTGGTTTAATAAAAAGACAAATGGCCAATAACTAGGCAGGAGGTATAGGCAGGACTTCCAGACAGATAGAGCTCTAGGAAGAAGAAAGGAGGAGTTGTGAGCTAGATGCAGGGAGAACAAGGCATGCAGGAGGAATGGTAAAAGCCATGAGTCATATAGATGAATAGAAATGGATTAACTTAAGTTATAAGAGCTAGTAGGACAAACCTAAGCTATATGCAGAGCTTTCATAATCAATAGTAAGTCTTGTCATTTTTTTGTGAGCTGGCAGCCCAAAGAAAAATCCACCTACATATGACACTCAATGTGGGGTGCCATTTATAGTTGGACTTCTTTGTCAGGATCATTGGCTCCCCAATGATGATGTTAGACCCCCTGGAAAACTCAGGTATCCGGGGTCCCAGGCCACATTCACTGTCATCCCAATCACCAGGTGGACTCGAGAGCTTGATGCAAACTGCATGAGGCTTTATTGTAATTTAACGAGCTAACCCCATGTTAGCTTGGGTCTTTCACCCACCCACCATGGCGGATGGCTAGCAAAAGACAGCTCCTAGGACCTCCCAAGAGATCTTATAGGGCAGTGTAAGGGGAGTGTCTAGGGGTACGCACAGGCTCACTATTGGTGTGCCTCCAGCCTTAGAGGGCTTGCCCTGTGTTGATTGGCCAACTGGTTGTTATGGCCCATAGGCCCTCCCAGGGTTGTTGCTATGCTTTGTGTGTCATTGCTGTGCGCTTGTCCGTAAACCACACCCAGGGTGGTAAAGCATAGCGCCACCAGCTAACTTCTGATTGGTTCCTTGTCACAAGGCAGGCATCTGACCTCCTAGTGACCAAGGCAAGGTTATGGCAAGAACGTGTTCGGCTGTTATGGCTGCCGAAAGGGGAGCTGGTCCCTTCAATGACATGGAGATTTGTTATTAATTACCAAAGCTAAGCTGATAGCTTAAGCTTGCTTCTAATTAGCTCTTATGACTTAAATTTAAAAAAATTTCTATTAATTTACTTTCTGCCTCATGGCTGTTGGGCCTAAAAAGGCCCATATGCAAGGCTTAGTAGAACTTCCTGAGCCTGGCTAGAGTTGGGTAATCTGTCTTTGGCCTATCACTTCTGCATAGGAGTGACTCAGCAAAACTGCCTCTGCCAAGCTACTGCTAATGTGTCGAACTATTATTGGCCCTTAAATCTCACCTCCTCCTGAGGTCCCCACCCACTTCCTCAACCCTGCCTGATGCAATAAAGAGAGATTCTGCTTCAACAAGTCTCCCGACTCAGTGTGGTTCTCTCCGATGACTAGAAATATCCCATCAGCCTCAGAAAGAGACCAGCTGGACCAGGCCTTCCACAGCCCTACCTGCCAGAGGACCCAGCACATGGTTTTATGATCTCATCTCTGTACTGTCTATACTGCTGGTTCTGTCTCCTGGCATCCCCACCCTTCTTCCCAGCATCCTCTGTGCCTAGAAATCCTGCCTAGTTATTGGCGGTTCAGCTGTTTATTAAACCAATCACATTGATACATCTTCACAGTGTACAAAAAGATTACAACATTCCCCCCTTTAAAATTCTGTTTTTGTGAGCTGGCAGCCCAAAGAAAAATCTGCCTACACACAGTCTTTCATTTTCTGTGGAAACTTAAGCATAACCTCTTTCCCAAAACAACATATTTTTTACTTCCATTTTGAAGTTAAGGAATTTTTAAAATATATAGATGGGTTTAATTTAGCGGTTTTCACAATCCAATATCTCTAAGCAGCTATTGCTTGTTTTTGATTATGCAATCAAAAAATTCAAAGTCAACAAGACACCATATAGGATTCAGGCTTTCTGTGTATATTCCATCTTTGTGTGTCTTGACCTCTTTATATTTTTTTTATTCTTTCTTCAAAGACTATCTTATTATTTATAAACTTACTTTTGTATGATTGTCTATACCCATTTTCTTTTCTTTTTTAAGCTTATGCATATTTTTTAAGCACACTGTAACCTGCTTAGAGGAGTTTTCCATCAGGATCTGTCTTCACTGAGTGTCAGCAGCATTCTCTGACTGTGTAAGACAACTCTTAAACTATGTCAGCTGCCACGAGGCTCAGCTTAGCAAATGGTGCTGGCACATGACACTGCCAGCTGGCTCCAGTCCACAGGCCATGTCCCTATAT